AGCTTCGCATACTTTCTAATCCCATTTTGCCCGTCGATATTACCATAGGATTATCTCGCTGTGCTGACAGATTTAATATCCATCGGGTGCATCGTGCATTGCCCCTGGCATGGTGTTACTACGGGGATAAATGCAAAGTTCCCGACAGATTCAACAGCATCTAGTAGACCCAGTACGATAATACACGTTGATAACAGAACTTGTTGAGATAATTGTGCGCAATTTGTGGTTGCAAAGATCGAATAATTCTCATGATCCGTATCACCTGCAGATTCATCTTGCCATAAATCCTGTTAATTCACTGTAATGACAATAACAATTTTTTATGTTGAAAAAATTCGATTGCTGCTTTAGTTTTGAATGTTCTTATTTAAATTGAGGTAAGAGGAATGAAGTGCGGTGAAGGTCTTCCCCGGAACACAGAAGGACTATCTAAAATGGTACACGTCTTTGTTACGCCCCAGATTGTGGTCAATTAGTGTTGAATGCGTGGACATACGACATTGTCAGCGTAACACTTTCTAGCGTAACTAGATTATGCGGACCAAGTGATGACATATAACAAATTATGTATTTAAGAGGTTGTTTGTGTATGCAGAGAGCAGAACCAAATTGGGCTCTGATGTGTGAGTCGTAATCATTGTAATCAGTCAGATGACATAGTTAAAGTAATAAACTCTCATATTTAATTACGTATAAACTATTGGTGGGATTTTTGCTTTCGAGTCTAGAATGAACAATAATTATAAGTACCCCCCATGCAGGGTACAGCGCTTAATGGTTGAAAATCATTTTCCTATTATCAGAGTCAGTCAATGTCAGACTGATGATTTGGAAAATGGTGTATTGTCTATCAAGGGCGGAAAGTCAGTGTTTTCCCGCCCGAAGTGCACATGCTATTTTTGGACATGCATGCAAGGAAAACATCGTATTTTTCTCTCTGAAAAACGGGCGGAAAGTGAATATTTTCCGCCCTAGGGTGGAAAGTTGTTCCCAAGGGCGGAAAGTCAGTGGTTTCACACCCGAGGTGCACATGCTATTTTTCAACATGCCTGCAAAGGAAACTTCGTGCTTTGCCGCCTGGAAAGTAGGAGGAAAGTGACTACTTATCGCCCTAGGGTGGAAAGTTGTTCCCAAGTGCGGAAAGGCAGTGTTTTCCGGCCGAGGTGCACATACTATTTTTCAACATACCTGCAAAGAAAACTCGGTGGTTTTCTATCTGAAAAGCGGGAGGAAAGTGAATACTTTCCGCTCTAAAGTGGAAAGTTGTTTCCTAGTGCGAAAAATATTGACTTCTCGACCTTGGCAGCACCTTTCTATCCGAGGGCGGGATGTATTCACAACGAGTGTGTTGAAAAAATTCTTTCTTTCATTGCTTAATGACGTAATAAATATTATATAAAAAACATCGCCGAAGCATAACCAATTAGAAGTTCGATCCCGTTCGATGACATTATTATTAGTTATTTTTTTTACATTATTTTTTTTT